GATGCTTGTTCACCCAGTATAAGTGCTGATGGGGTTTTAGTTGAGACGCTTGTTAGGAAATTGCTGCTATTGGACAAGTGACAAGTAGACGAAAAATGGAAAAAGTTTGCGTAGCTACAATTATAATATGTTTGTCAATTTGTTCGATAATTTTAACACCGGAAGGAATTCTTCTGCCAGGGGCAACGAATGTTAGAAGAAAGCAGTCAAATAGATCACTACAGCACTTAACAGTGAGTAATGTTCCTATTTACAAAAGCCTTTCCGAAGAGTTAACAGGACTACTTTTTCTTTGGTATCTGCGTGAGCTCCGATTCCCTTCCATTCTGAATTTATTTCGGAAGACATTTTACTATGTTTTAAAGACAATTTCATGTCATTTCATTAATGTATTTATGATTGAATGTATTTATGATTTTACACTTTGCTTATAGAAGAAAAGGCTGTGCATTTGCATCAAAGATTCTTTCAATTTTTCTGACCTTAACTATTATATTAAAATTATTAAATGCAGGAATAGACAGCGGGTAATGGCCCTCCATTCATTTGCAGATTGCTAAAAAGTGCCTCATTAATAGACAGCTTATGATCTTTCAATCATACCTCTTTTGCCTGAGCAATATTGTTGGCCAAAGGATGTATTTGTTGATTGAAATAAGAGTGCATTGAAAAAATATCAAACACTTTTCGAGTGCTGAAAAGATCTATTCCGTTTGTCCACTGCCTTTTTTAGCTCTATATTATTATAAATTTAACAAGAAAGCTTGAAATTTTGAGGTGATAATCTAATATCCATGGATAATCTTCTATATTTCAACTATAGATTCACCAGAGGTTGTCAAGACTCGAAAAGATTGTTGAGTTGATGAACACTTTTAAGGGGGATGATATTGCTGAGCCGCAGGAAGCCCACTAGCAGCAGAAGCGATATAACTGCACCAACAAATTCTAAGAAATCGATTTAACCCAATGCTTTGAGGAAAGAAAGCACGTCACTTCTTGTCACAGCCAATCCAATTGCAACGGACAAGTTACCAGTGTCTTTTTATGCAAGATGTACATTGATGATGTACAAGCTGTGCAAAGAATGCGTTATAATGACAGCAGAGTGGACATCTGTTTCCAATAGGCAACATCAAATTAAATCAGCTCCCAGTTACAGCCCAGAGAAATTTTTTCAATGCTGCTCAATAACTTTTTCGATTTCATTAACAATTGGGGTGCAACAGCACAGACAACAGCTTAGATAACTGCAAAACCGTAAATTAATGTGTATTTATGAGCATACCTCTACTAGAACCATTCACTTAACACTATAGTTACAGCATAATGATTGCTACCTTCTAATTTTCCTAGAAATCTTCTCATATTTGTTGTGGAAGTATTTCAATGCAATTCAATTTGTTTCCTGGATAAATTGACACATATGGTTTCCGATACGCTGAAAAGAAATGAAATGGTGGATGTTCTAATAAATTTGCTTTAGAGACTTGTCTTCTGTTTTCGAGGAATCAATGACACAAATAATCGCTTTCTTCAAAATGTTAGCTTAGTTTTAGTATAACTAATATTTTTAACTACGAAAAAAAGCTCCAGCATCAGATAATCTATTAAAACGAGCGATGCAACTGCCGTTTAAAATAAAATTGCTATCTGAAAATAAGTAGCGTATTGCCTAGCTGTAGAATCGTCATAGAATCTGAGCAGCTAATAATTGTAGAACATGATAAAAGTACAAGACGAAAGACTGGTAATTGTCCGCAAGATTTGTAAGAGCTTTGCAACTATTTAAATCGTAGTTTTTTTCAAACAAAAAAAGAATTTTGACGATTTATAAAAGCTGCATAATTAAAGCCAACGTGAAACAATTTTATGAAAATAACAAAGTCTTTTTAAACAATGATCGATAACCAAAGAGAATTTGCCAAAATTTACTCTTTGTTGATTTAATACTAGAAGTAAGCCTAAAGTTGATGCAAATTCCACACTTCCGGGATGCAACGTCACGATTTAACAGGAACTACCCAAAAAATTCATTAAACATCTCCTTCATTAAATATCTCCGCAAAAGAAAGTGCTTCCTAAAATCCTAACCCGTTTCATAGTTAACCACTATTGTTCCGTGGGCGAGAGGGAGATGGTTGATTTTGATTGTTCCAAGACTTATTTGGCAGGAATTGTATGTCAGCATTTCTTGACATTCCGGAGCAAGTTTATTAATGAACTTTAAAGATTCCCATCCAAGCTCCTTGCATGTTTCATTTCGGGAAGTACCTTTCCACGCACCGATTTTTGCTCAGACAAGAGAATACAGGACAGATTCAAGACCTTCTACTTGATGGTGTAAGAAAATTTCTTGGCAGACAGTCGCCCATTTTCAGCGGGATTATGATAAATAATGTCACCATAATCAAAATGTGGCCGAGCATGGAGTTTAGAAAAAACTACTTAAGCCCCGGTCAAACGCTTCCAACATTTAGTCCAACATTTACTCCCAAAAAATTAGAAAGTTCGTTGATATTTTGCAGCGGGTGGTCAAAAGCATCCAACATTGCGCCCAACATTTCATCCAACATTTCCATCACCGTATATCGCCTGCGCAGCGACATGTTTGCAGCACTGGTTTACAGGTGATAAAACGGCGCGTAAAACGAAAGTGAATAATGATAGCTGATTTCGAAAACAACACGTTGAAACGTTGCGTTTCATTTTTCACTAGATAACTTTGAAAAAAGTTGCTCACAAATCAATCTGGATCCACCTCGGCTCAAATGACAATGAAAAAGTTTGAATCATGCGCATGCCTAGAAAATGAAATGTTGGGTAGAGTGGTCAAACGCATTCAACATTACATCCAACAATGAAAAACAAAATTTGTTTTTGACCGTGATCACTGAACCGTGAACTTCATCCAACATCGGTTTGCAAATGTTGGGTGACCCAATATGGGTGATCAAACGCATCTAACATTTCGTCCAACATTGGTTTTCTGCATGTTTGATGAAATGTTGGATGCGTTTGACCAGGGCTTTATAGAGTCTTTCTTGGCAAGTAGCAAGACAGAAACCGTAGCATATCAATGTGTCCCCTTCTTCGTTGCCAATTGAATATGACAAGAAAACGTAACTCAATTGTCAAGCACAAAACCCACAATACCTTAATGTCTTTATTTCTTAGCCCTCGTGATAGTTTCATCGTTGCGGGATTAGGCGGGTTTAAGAAGGATCCTTTTAGAGAACATCACTTGGATTCCGCTAGGTCAAGATTGAACGAAATCCCCCATTCATGCGCATGTGTCTAGCGTTTAATACGATCTAAATCGCAATTCACATCTGCAGCGCATTTATTTGGGTTTGCAGCAATTGAAAATATCGATGTACCATCAACCATCTATAACTTTACTGTTGATAGATGGTTGTTTGAAACTATCAGCGTTGTCAGATCATTGATGTAGAAAAGGAAGAAGAGGGACATAAAATTGATCCCTGTGAAACTTCATCAGAAATTTTGGCCCACGGCGATAGTTTGCCATTCGCGACGGTACGTTGCCTACAATCTGCTAAAAAGCTTCGAATCAATGATAAAAACTGCCCAGAGACAATGAAACGTTTTGCTATGATTTGTAGATCAAGCTATTGTGCCATTCTCTATCGAAAACTTGTGAACTTGCGTCTAGATAAATTGAGCATACATCTATAAAAAGGTTGCAGTCAAATGCAACGAAGGTAGAATCAGGTCTTCAGAGCGAGATTGATTTGAAAAAGCACTTCATGAAAGGAAAGGTGCACATGTAAAGAAAAAATATCACCTTATAATATCTTACCAGGAATTGGGAGGAGGGATATGGGACGGTAGTCTATGCACAGTCATGACTGGAAATGTATTCCTATTGATTATTCCAACTTGCTCTTACTAGAAATAAATAAAAAAATATATGTACCAGAACTTCTTGCAATAGGATAATTCTTAGCAAGTTAGCAAACAGACAATAAGATTGACCAGCAGCACGATGTATTCAACCCATGCCACAGATAAAGAAGAGCAGTGGACTTTGACAGACTTCTGACACGAAAATAAAATTTGTTTGCAGATAGCTTAATAATTCACAGTCAATGTTCAAGGTAACGGCACCAGGGAAAAATATATTCTAAATGTATGAGAAAAAATGGAAAAGTAGATGAATGGCAGCCAACCAGTGAAATATAGATGATCTTATTTAATAATCCACAGACAGCTCAATGAATGTTTACCCTGGCTATCTGTTCTTTGAAAGCCTTTCATAACAGTAAAAATAATTGGTGATTTAAAAATTCTTTCTAAAATTTTAAGATAAGTGAAAAATGCATTCTATCAATAAAATACTTTTTTAGAATCTATTTATGTAAATGCCTTTTATCAAGAAGCTCCCAAAGCCCAAAGTAACTAAATACTTATTTGTCATCATTAGATGCTCTAAAGCCATAGTGGCACAATCTGTTGCAGTGCTCTATAGTCAAAGATGTGTGCAAATGCTAGAAAAGAGTAATGATTGCTAAAATGTTCATCATTTCAAATTAATTTTTCAAGAATCCACCATTTGAGCATTGTGCAAGTAGAATATCCTGTTTGAGGATATTATCCCCATTTCTGATCTTTTCATCAGTTATAAGAAAATCTAGAATATCTAATTGTTCTAAACAAGAGAGAATTGCAATATTATTTATCTTATTGTTTAATGCTCACTTAGATATAGCTTTCTTTCATATTTCTTGTAGTAAATTTTAAAAACTGCTTAAAAAATGATGTTCCATGCTATTTTGACTAAAAACTTTTGGCACAATCTATTAATAATAGATATTGTCCAGCAGAACACTGTCCTTTTATTTGGACAAGAAGGTAATTTTTTCTGACTGGTTTTAATGTCAGAAGAGAATGCTAGAATTAAGGGGCTTTTGCTGAAATAATAAACACAATATGCAGCAAAATACTGCATAGAATAGAAAATTGCAATAAAGAGGACCTTATGTCCAGAAATTTTCCATGACAAAATAAAAAAGTACTACATTTATCTTTACTCCTAAGGGTTCGACTTACCGTACCTATAAAGATTTTTGACCAAGTAAAAAATACATGCCATCAAAAATAACGAAAAGAGGCAAAATAGTATTTTTGGGATTGCTAAAATACTCTGCAAGTTTAAACCCCTATCGAAGAAATAGTCTCCATTGGCAAAACCCCATTTGTGCGATAAAATGAATCCTTTACAATTCTTGTGCGTCCAAACTCAGCTGGCCTCGTGCTAGAATTCTTCATTGAGGTCGTAACTTTCCAGCCATATTCCCAACCAGATGTGATAGGAAATTCGTACTTCTGCTCGGGTTTTTTCTGTTTCCGTTTCTGTAAATACTGATACCGCCCTTCCCCCAGTGCGCTGAAGCCCTTGAACAGTAAATCTCGAGTTGTGGAGTTACTGGGCGCATCTCCGAAACCGACTTGTGTTGTAACTTTTCTTCATTAGTTGAAGAAAGAACTCCCGCCTTTGCTGCTTTAACTTTAGGATACCGTTCCAGATTGAACGTGTTGATCGGCGATGTTGAGATTGTAGCAACTTTTAAAGGTGCAAGTTTGGATTTCTTCTGATTCAGAACATTGTGGTCTCTAGCGAATTCCTTGGAAAACTTCATGTGCCACAATAACCGAACAGTCGCTTCTTTATGAATCGACTCCTTCCAAAAATTTTGTCTCTGTGTATCCATATTTAGTTCCCGAACCATTTTCCACGATTTTCCAAAGCAGAAAACAACGTGAACCAGTGTAGGCCTATGAAGGAATTGATCACAAGCGTCATAGCAACACAGTTACTAAGTGATTCTGACAACCTCGTTTCGCCTGGCCTCGCTTTGAATTTACTCTTGCATCACCAATGATATAGATCGCTCATATATCATTATGCATCACAAAAGCATCAAAACAGTAGGTCAAAAGTGCGGCTCTCCAATCTAGAAGCACCGAAGGCGCTAGATGTCTAACTCGGGTCATGCTGCGTACTGCCGAGTGAGGCGAATTCACCTCATTGGGCGAATTTGTTTACTTCCGCCATTTGAAATAGTGGCAAAGAGCGAGCTGCAATAGGGTTCAGTATGGAAAATTGATTGTTTTAATGACTGGTTTTCTCGTGGTTCACAACTATTTCAGTGGCTTAATTTTAAACAATATGACCCTTTTAATTTACGCAGTTACAGGGGGAATATACCAGTGGCCTGTCGTGTTTTTATAAGTTGTCATGTATATGCTTGCAATCTTATCTTCATTGATAATTAGATATAACTTTCTGGGTTATTTATTCAATGATATAGCAACAAGTAGCAACAAAATTTTGAAATCGCAAAGTCTCCCTGAAATGGACCCATATATTCGGGAAACGCATTCTTGTGGAATTTCGTATTTGGCCTGGAAACCTCTTACAATTAGAGATTCTCTGGTTTTTGGACCACCATTTGGATCATGGTTTGTAACCTTTTTCATGTGAAGTCAAACTTTTTAAAGGGACTCTCCAGCCAAAGAAAATTTTTTTTTTCATTGACTAAAAAGTTAGCATCTGGTGCGTGTATTACGGCAAAGTCGTTGTTTTTGAAAAAAATTTCAATTAGTTTAGAAGTTAAAAGGCTTTAAAGCTGCACCTTTCCGAGAAAAAAAACGAAAAAAGCCGAATCAGTTTGGTGACATTCTGATGTCACAATGTGCGGCTCTCGTTCGCCATGAATTTAGTATATCTTCCACTGAAGTGTAAAGGAGTCATGGTCACGCGTTGATAATTGCATCTAAATCTACAGCTGGAGCTTTTTAGGGTCGAAAAATATCAAATGTTTAAAATCTTTCTAAATCTCACGACTTTGTTTTGATCACCTGCGTAGGCCAACAAAGCCTTTTCTCCAGAAATGATGAACAACTAAAGGCTTCAGAATTGGTGTCTGAAATGCTCAAACTAAAAGCCGGTGGAACAGAACTGATAGTACCATCCAGGGGCGTCGCGACCGGGGGGGTGTAGGGGGGTGTCACACCCCCCCCAATGGTATCACAATAGGAAATTTCAGGTAAAATCCGCTCAGTGGAAGACACGCTTAAGGTATTTTAGAGACCTTCATGTCATAAAATCAATAAAGGATCAAGGAAAGGTAGTTACTCCGTTGGTTAAATATGGTATTCCTTGATATGAATGAAGGTAAACAAACTAATGATTTGAATATTTGAAGTTTTCAAGTTGGCACTAAATCGAAAAATCCAGGCCCTCTTAGATAAAATTGTGGTCTTGTGTCCATTTCCCCTAAAGTTTCTCGGTAGAAGCGTCAACTGCAATTCACTATGAGCTCGGGATCTTTTAAACATTCAAAAGACATGCTAAGATGGAAAGAGGGATCCAAATTGACAACCAGTGCTGCTTGTTATCTAGCTTCAGAAGTAACTGACAACATGGTATTTCTCAAGACCACGGCGAACTTGTACCAGTTGTTCTTATCTGCTGCTCAACTCAATTTGTTTGCAAAAAAAATATTTTCAATAGGATAAGGAGGGTTGCTTTAGTGTAATGTGCTTGAAAGAGTGCATTTTCCAGGGAACTAGAAGCATCAAAATTCGAAAATTTCCTGCTCCTTCGGCGGCAACCATGGTAGTAACAATATCCTTTTCCCGTTCCAATAAAGAGATTTGACAAAACTATTAGGAAAATTCCCTTATTATCAAATTAAAATGAAAATACTCTATCTATGCCCAGATTATGAATAAAAGAACTCTATCTATGCCCAGATTAGAGCTAGTTAGTTGCCACATGTTAAGCAATTTACCGTCAAATGCATTGACAGTTTTAGAGCGACCAAAGATAAGCTTAACACAAGCATGAACGGATTCTGCGGTGGGTTTTGCCTTTATTGGCTCTTAGGTGGCGAGGTGTCCTCATTACATTTCCATTCCACCACCACCACCCACACTCTCTCATTTGCCATTCTTCCCTCCTCCACCACCAGGGGCGGACTGGCCGGTCGGAATAACCTGGCGATCGCCTGGTGGGCCCTCCCAAAATTATTGCAATTTTCTCTTAATTTTGCTATTAGATGAAAACTCGTATTGTTTGGTAGGGGCCCTCTTCAGTTGCCATAACACCGAGACTCTCTCAAGATTAGTGGATACAGAATGAACAAAAGATCTCTTTGCGGTATTTAAGTACCGAGAAAGCATTTTCCAAAATTTTGGGCCCCATGGAATCAAGGAATCAAGAATCCTGGGCCCAGGGCTCAATGTCCCTTATGCAATAATACGATACGTAACTGGAAGTTCCAAAATCTGAAAAATGTTCTCTTCGGGCCCTCAGTTAAAATGTTTTCATTAAATCATAGGTTAAGGTGGTAAGGACATGACAATTTTTGTTGCTCAATTTCTAGGAAGGCACATTATTCTAATGCTAGCCAAATAAGTTTTGGAGTATAGATCAAAACAGCAGAAGGGCTCAACACCCTCAGCTCTGACAAAATGTTTGTTCCAGTACATCCATACTTTGCTCCAGTATAAAACATGAATGGTTCGCCAATAATCTTAGGCATATAACATCGGTACTTACGCCAAATTTTGATGTAATTCTTCGGAAAAATTTTGGCATAATTCCATTGGCGTGGTCTGACTGTGCTAGTTTTTTATTCGAAAATTTGCTGACGTGGCGAAAACCATGCGAGATTTGCCCTGCCCACTTTTGCAAAGTAACAGGACCGTAGAGACTGGGGGCAGGGGGCAATGCCCCCTCCTCAGTAATCGCAAAAGGTGACCCCTCTAAATACCATTCGCCATTTTTTATCACTGAGGTCCCGCTTTAAAAGTCCTTCAGATAGAAAACAATAATTGTGCCCCTCGCCATGTCATGATTAACTCTTATCCTGATGCTGACTTGATGCTGACTTGGAATAAGGATTGTATATCCCCCTTGTAAATCTTATACACTTACGCCTACATCCCTGGTGGTTACTAATTATAATTTATAGCAATATTCCAATAACGTTCTAAGCCAGTTTCAAAAAATGATGCAACAAAAAACATCGGGAATACCCGTAAACTTATTATTGATTTTCGGGGCCCTTTCTCGACGAATTGGCCCGGGCCCTAAATTTAGAGCCAGTCCTCCTCTGGTTAGACCGCTTACAAGGCATCTCGCGAAAAATTGTGTTTGCTTGCATTTTTCTAACGAGGAATTTGTTCAACCCTAACTTCTGCTTTTTTATGCCAAAAAACTATGACTCACACTAGAATTGAGTAAAATTGATCTCATTGCTGCGAATTGAGAGCCTTGAAACTATCAATTCTTTTGCTTTAAATGTTTAAAAACTTTGCTTCCTTCCTGTGCCAGGTAAGATCTTTTCTTTGACTCGCAACTCTTGTTTCATCATGATTCAGTCTAGAAGAAGTTCTGGGTAAGAATTTTAAGACATATATTTTTATGAGAATCGATTCCACCATAAAATTCAACCCAAATTTTACAGTTTTACATATAATAAATAAATAAATATAATATAAATAATTTGTTTAAAGTTGGCGTACTAAATGAACGTCTGATAGCTAATAAAGAAGCTAATTAAGGCCAACTATCTATAAAGAATTAGTATTAAATGAATATATGATACAATGTTGAAAATATTTATGCAATGACTGATATGGTATAGCGCTAAAATGTTCATGCAACGTTACAATATTAAAAATGTTTATGGTATAATGTTATAAATAAAACCTAACCCAGCAATAAATGTTTTACACAATCTACAGTCGCATTCTATAGGGTGTGCTCTTAATTCTTTTTTAAATGTTGCCAATGATTGAGACTCTCTTAAACTGTGAGGTAGTGTTTGCCACAGTTTTTGACCTAAATATCTCACAGTTTCTATACCATAAGAAGTTGTCCTGGCTTTTGGAATGCAAAGATTATTTTTAGTTCGCAAATCATAATGTACATTTCTTGTTTCAAAAATCTCACTCATGAAACTAGGGTTCAGGTTATGTTTGGTTTTGTATTTTTCTATCATCAAGTACTGTAAATTCCGTTGGCGAATTGATACTGCATTATCCAAAGTCAGCAATGCTTCGTAGTCAGCATGACTGTCTTTATAAAACATTTTGAGTGCTCTTTTGTGGATTTTATTTACTTTAGCATTCAGATATCTGTCATGGAACATCCAAATACACCAGTGCATCATAAAATGTGAAGCATGAAGAGATATCTAACTGATTAAAAAGTTTTTTGTATGAGTTATAAAGCCTTCAATGCGCTTTTTATGGAGAGATAAGTTAAGGATCTTTCTGGTTAGGGCTTTTAAGACATCCTTACAGCTTGAATATTCTTTTCGTCCCAATATAACTTTGAATAAGCAGGTATTGGACGCCCAAAGTTAGTATAAATATCCCGGTTGTGTAAGTGTTTGGTAAAATACTAGAAATGCTAGAAAAAACGTTTAACAGAATTCAGTCTTAACTGGATTTAGCAAATTCTAATTTTGGAAAAAGAACTGCATTCCAGTCACTAAAGGACACGCACACGCATACACACAGGGTCGCTAACCAAGAATGCTTGAATCTTTAAATTTGGTTAAGTATCAGTACAGGAACGTGAGAAAACTATATATTTGAATTCTGCGTTGAGCTAACTAGCAACGTGATAATAGACGGTTCCTTTAAGCTGATGACCAACAATTTTCGTTTCCAACCGGCAATAATTAATTTTTTTGCTATTCTGCAATGACTATGTCCACCTGCATAACTTTTCAGATTTGTCATAGAAACGGTTTTGTTTCTATAGATATTGGAACAGTGAATGAATAGAAATAATT